TTCATGACGACTCTTATACCAAAACATTTTGAAAATCCAATAACATTTTTGCTCCTGTATATAAATACTTGTCACACATTATAAAATCCTTACATTTGTCTTGATAAAGTCTCTAAGCGGACGAAATGCTTCCACTAAGATAAGTTTTCTTTTTAACTTTATTCATATTGTCCTTTTACATATATACCCTATCTGAAATTCATGTTATATATATATTGTTATAGTAAAGAAAAGACTGTCAACTGATAGTAGCAACTGCAATAGATTTCTTGTTTCTAGGCCGCAACACTTGTAGCCAAATCGTAGTTCACTCGATAGGCCGACGTAACAGTCCAACACACAACGTAGAAACGACAAAATGGGGTCACAAATCCAACCTTCACTTCTCGGCAACAACACGTGTTCGTTTTTCAGCTCAAAAAAATCATCTCCTTTTATAAGCGAAAAACAACGACTTCTGTTCACCGATAGAATTTTCTGATTGGTCGCGCCATAGCTTCTAGTCATTGATGTAGATTTTTGCTGACTACATTTTTGGTAATTTTTCTTCGGCAGATCGCACACAAAACACGAACTTTTTTTTTCGGGGTAACTGATTATCTCTTTCACTATATATATATATATATATATATATATATATATATATATAATTTCAGTCAGCACCTGACGATTGCGTTGTGCAAGAAACTGTTTTCCACGCTGATAGCACAACTATGTATATTTATTAATATATATTGTAGCTCTGTTATCATACGTTGGGCACTATTTTATTAACACCAGCACTCAATGTGCGATATTATATATAAAATTTGTTACTTAGCTGATTAGTGTTACCTTCACCATCCCGACTCTAGAGATTCACAGATGGACCCTCCAGAATCTCCCAGTCCACTCGTCAGGGAATATCAGAATGTGTATATGTAAAAATTCAGTATAAATAATATAATCTGTATTTTAGTTTAATCGTCGATATAGCTGTCGATACTAAACGCTTTATAAAATTAAGCGTTGTGTACATGTGTCCGTTGTCCGATGCCCGTTTTTCGAGCTCGGCGTATCATGAACAACCTGAGATAACAATAACTACTGTAGTTATACGCGATTAAAAATTAAATAACTCATTTAAAGTTAAATTGCAATTGATATCGCCTTAAACCGTAATTAAAACTTAAGTGGGCACGGCACATGGTTTGTTTTTCTAGTCTGCATACTGTGACGTATTCGAAAGATGTAATATTTCGTGTTCCCTAATGACTTTTAAGAGTGATTTTATGTGAAGGGATCATAAAGAATGGTGATTTTTTTTTTTTTAAATTGCGCGCAAAATAAATGTAAACAAACTACGGAGGTCGGTTACGTATATGAAGAAAGATTATGCCGAATTTAGGTGTCTAATAAAGATAAAATAATTTTTATTATTTCTAAATTCTTATAACTTTTACGTACGTAAGACGCTGAAGGTAAAAGACCGAATGCTGAAAAGCTCTCCACAGGAGCTAGCCTTAAAGTCCAATGCACTGTTACAATTTTAATTTTTTGTTTAATGTTATCAACTGCTAATTGGGACGAAAGATTTCATCCTCAACTGATCACAATAAATGATATAGAAGCTTGGGTAATTGTTATTTACATGTGAATGAACACTGAAAAAAGGTCAAGCTGTTACTGAATTATGTCTAAAAATATACAATACTATGACTCATGTTAAAATAAAAATGTAGACAGTTGTTTCAGTAAACATTAGGCTGAGTCATAAATAATTTCCGTCTTCATCACCTTTTATTCTGCATTTTTTAATTCGATAATATATTCCCTAAGTACCATCAAAATGGATGCATTTTTTTCTGAAATGAAAGCAAAAAAAAAATCAAGGAATTATCCGATTCTAATGAAATTTTTAGTATTTGTTCATGAATGAGTAAATTGTATGCTGAATAGGTTATTTAAAAAAAAACAACACTTTTTGGATATATTGCTATATTGCTTGTGTGCTTTTTAATTTTGGTGTTGGGGGGTATTCACGAAATATTTTAGTTATAAAGAAATCCCCGAAAATGTTACTTCAGTAAAAATTTATGCAGTATCAAGTGTGAACATACGGAAAATTCGTCTCGAACTTTACCAAAAAAAATTTAATAAGACTGTTGCAGAGAGTCGTTCGTCTACGTTAGACAATCCCCGCAAACATTAAAAAGATAGAGGTGACACGGCAAAGATAAGAATAACTAGAACGAGGTGATTAGTTTAATAGTAATAATGCCAAATTTCTTTGTTACTTTGATTTTTGCCAATAAAGAAAAGGTTTAGTGTTTTGAATTGCTCCGGTTGGTCGTGTTGAAAGTCGTCATCAGTTCGAGCTGAGCCAATAGTTAGTATGTTGGTGTTGTAACTGGAGTTGCAAGTATAGTGATAAACGGGCCTAGAAGCGGCCTGTGCGAGGAGTTAGTATAGCTAGCGGCTCGTAGGTCAGAGACCGCGGCCTAAGCTGCGAGCCATGCCGCTGGGCGTTGCTGTTTCAGCTTGGTCAGGCTGAAGGGCTAGTTACTCTGCTTCGCTATATATGTAGGAAGAAAAGACTTTGTTCGCTAAAAAGGGCAGTTGAGTAGCACCGGATCTTTTGGCTGATGAGAGCAGTGGGAATGAGGCAGGAGCTGAAGCCTGCTAGAACAAAGGCTGATGGTAATTCGAAGATGATGGTAGCTAGTACTACTGCTTCTGGCTGTAACCGTGGTCTGGCTGATCGGCTGCTGATGGAACAGATACTAGACACTCTTCCTCTTCGCCCAGACAGGGCAGGCCGTTGGCATTTACCAAAGACTTCCCACTGAGTTACGAATGCGACACAGGGTCACTTTACGTAACGTAGAGAACCCGAGCACGTACACTCGGACCACTAGTCAAAATTTACCCAGATTACGCTGGATCGGGCACAAAGCTTGTTTTAGATAATCAAGGCTGCGAAACAGATACTACAATATGCTCATTGTCTGTTGACCGCGATCGGGCAGACCATCGTATTTAGCAAAGATTTCCCAGTTTCAGAAACCAGACAAGCTAAGTTATTTAACGTGGTGAACCCGAGTGCGTACAGACGGGCCACTGGTCAAAATTTACCCAGTCCTCGTTTACGTCAGATCAGGCACAAAGCTTGTCTTCGTTATTTACCAAAGACTCTCCACTGAGTTCCGGATGCGACATAAGGTCAGTTTATTTAACGTGGTGAACCCGAGAGCGTAAACTCGGGCCACTGATCAAAATTTACCCAGTCTCCGCTTACGCGGGATTGGACACAAAAAGTTTATCTTCTCCGTTCTGTCTCTGCGTGCTGATTTAAAAATGAACAATCGTAAAGTAATTTTAAGTCACAATATATATTGCAACTAAACATCACGCAATCAAAAGGAAATGGTATTTTCTTTGGGTCGCCGTTTAATCCTATCTCCGAAACGACCCACAGAATTACTATTTTCGATTATACTGTTTTAGGTTTCCGTTCGCCAAAACAGACCAAAAACAGAAGCATGAGGCTACGAGAAGACTCGACAAATAAATTTTTGTCAGTTGGTGCTTGCATAATTTAAAACCCATTTTCTTTTGGATTGAGCAGAAAAAAGAATCTACACTTAATATTTAGTTTTAAAAAAAAAAAAAAAACTAATTTTTCAGTGCAATTTTGAAATTTGCTCTTCTGTTTCTGATTTGATTCTTATTTTATTCATTAAAGACATTTTTGAAGAATCAAATGTAAAGTTTAATGTAATTTTCATGTGCCACCAATTTTTTTTTTTTTTTTTTTCATTTTTAAGACGAATATAATATACAATTTAAATACTCTCCACTGTCGGTAGACTGATATAATTCAAAAACTCTTAGCATCAGAATAATTTAAAATAACTTTCAAAAAGGTATTTGAATTATTTAAAATGCTTTTTTTTCTCCAAAGAAGTTCATAGCAGTAATTAAATATTCATCTATTCAACATTATTTGCAATGACTTGTGTCAACTCACTCGGCAACTCTTCGATAATCTTCGAGTAAAATTACGCAGGTTTTGATTTCTAAAAAAATAAGTTTTCAACGAACTCTGAAATCAAATTTTCACTGGAGAATGTTTTTTTCCACATGTTTGCAGCGATTGGAATAATGAAGTCAATTCGTGCAGTGACTGCTGGGGTAGATCAGACCAGTCGTTGTGTTGCTCTTTCTACATGCAGCTTTGTGTTGTTAGGGAGAACAATACTTCTACTTTAATCTACTGTCTACGCTATCACTGCCATGCAAAAAGTAAGGTATTAGTTGTGTACTCTAAATTTATTAACTGTCACGTAGGATTAGCAGTTCGGATGAGACATTCGTCATTACAATTGGTTCCCCAGAACGGTAATTACTTATGACTTGTTCATTCATTTGTGCAAACACACACACACATATATATATATATATATATATATATATATATATATATATATATATATATATATACACTGTAATGGAAAGCTGAAAACAGCCGCGCCTAAAATGTATAAATACTAAACTGTGCTCAA